CACGGAGGCTCAGCCCAGACGGGGCGCAGACCTCTGCTGCTGTTTTTTGATTCCCTTGTCACTCCCACCTGCCTTCTATACTTCAAAAATAATTGTGAGTCATCTTCTCTTCCCCTTTTATGCCAGACTCCCTCGATCTGAAGTGTAATTGCTCAAGGACGATGTTACTTAACTCTAAGGCAGGAGTTTTCAACCTTCCTAATGCCGTGGCCCTTTATAATACAGTTCCTGTGGGTTGCGACCCACAGGTTGAGAACCACTGCTGTGAGTCTTGTTCAGTAAAGCCGTCCCCAGGAACTGCACTCAACTCGCAGAGCAGCACAGCCACCCACCCCTTCTGCTGTCTCCTCTGTGGTTGGACTGTTGCTTCTGGTTTTTTTCAGGGAAGTTTTGCTGTTTCCCAGGCTGGACTTGGTCCTGCCTGAGCCTCTCAGGGGCTGGGCCTGCGGGTGTGCACCGCCACTCCGGGCGGGTGCTTCTCTCCGCTTCCCTTCTCTGTGGTTTTGTTAGTCTGAGACGGCATCATTGTGAGCCCCCAGGCTGGAATGTTATTCATTCGTTAGTTTTGTTTTTATTTCTGCCCATACTTCTAAACCACTTACCATTCCTGAATTACTGAAGAGTTGATTACCCTTAGCGCTGTGGAAAGACACACCCCTTCCTACTCCCCCACATGAATTGCTACCTTAGCTGAAACTCCACTGCAGGCCTGGGAGCCCTCTCTGATGGTGGCCTTAAAGCCCTCCTGAGGCCTGTGATTTGCACCTGAGAGTGGCAAGGAGCTGGGACACATCCACTTTCTGAGTAACTCTGCAAGATTAAACATTCATAGCTCCTGAGGGTCCAGCTCCCTCAAGGAAGGGCAGAGGCTTCATTCACCTTTATTGCCCCAAACAATACACAGAGCACAGTGGAGGCCCCATTGTTACCTGAATGCAATGGCTGATTTTGGGGGACACCTTCTTTCAACCTAGATGTAAACTAAGAAGATTTCTTCACATGTCGTGTGAAAACAATACTTTAATATTTAAAAAAAAAAAAAACAACACCTGATTCAAAGATCATTTGGTGTCATCTCCAAAGCATGGTGAACATTTTATCCCGTTCACCTACTTACCCTATTTTAGACAGATATATCATTTCCTATTCTCTCTTTTTCAAGCTAACGTTCTCTCTCAGTTTTTTATTTTCAAGAAGTAATTGCATCTTCATCTTATGTGGTTTATATTAAAGTTTTAGTCTGTTGTTAGGCTGAAGTGCAGATGCTGGTGAATGAGCTGCTTTCCCTGCTCTGAACTCCTCCAACTTGCCACCTCCACGAGCATCTCAGCTCTGTACTCGTGCTGCCTGGACTGTTACTATCCCACCTCCACGAGCATCTCAGCTCTTTACTCGTGCTGCCTGGACTGTTACTAGTGCACTACTTCTGTGCCTGCACAATTTTTGCCAGTGAGGTGATCTTTTGAAGGTCGGGGGCCTGCCACAAAACAGGCCCTCCCAGCACACTGGCAGTGAGAGTAACTGATGACAAGATTAACCACAAATTTTCTGAAAGATATCTTAAAATGGGCAAATTCTTCCTATAGAAGAATTTCTTCTAAGAGGCTAAAGGGAAAAGTAGAGTTTTACTAACAGTGATAGAAATCCTGGATTTATTCATTATCAGCAGTTGCACACAGTATGAAAAAAATTCTGAACTTGGCTGGAATAACTCTGACTCTGCTAACGGTTTTTACAGAATGAAAATACTTGTATTTAGAAGAGACTTCATGGTTTTCATTTCTTATTCCTTGGGCCTGACTTGTAGACCTGTCCCCAAATGCTACTTCAGAGACATCAGTTGCTTCCTGGCACAAACCCGCAGCTGACAGACGGCTCCACTAAGCTGTGTCCTTCTCGTGCTTTATTTCCTCTCAGGCTGCCTGCCTGGGTTCAATGTCAGAATCTGAATGGTGAGTTCAGGCCAGGCACTTTGAGAAGCAGGACGCTTCACGTCAGTGTGTGCAAAGGTGAGGTGTCTGCCCTGCTGAGTGCAGCAAAGTGACTTTGAATGTCTCCCTCCTTGGCCCGCCCGCCGCTCTCACCAAACTTTATTGCTTATTTAATGGAATTGTGACAAAGAGCAGGAATCAAAACACATGGGGACCACAGAGGCTGTTATGTTTATTGTGCAGAACAGACAGTGATAATCCACTAGAGAAATATTTTCAACAAGCAAGCGATTCAAAGTACAATCTTAGACAGCAATTCTACACGAAGAACAAAGAGTAAAGTTAGAAGACACTCAGAGGAACAGGGGAGAGTGGACTGCAGGGAAGCGTCTTGGTATTTTTCTCCTGCAAACATACCTAACTTGCAGAAATGGTAGAAAAGTTAAATGTCCAGTCTTACTTAGCTGTGACCAACAACAGCAAAGAACAGTCCTATAAAATTTATCTCCCACAAAAATAAACTATATATATAAAAATTTTATGATGTTCTTCCTGTTCCATTGGCCACAAGCTTTTTTTTTTCAGTATGAAAAATGAGGTATACTGGGACTTAAGAGGTAGTAATGTGTTTTGATTGTACAACGTACAGGAAATAAAAGTGTAACTTCACCAGGGATGGAAATCACTCAGTCCTCAAAGTTTGGCCAACACGAGCGACTGCTTCAACTTTATCAGCTGGCCAGTGAGGTTTCTAAAAGGCCCATCCAAAGACATGGAATGCAACTTTTACTTTTAGGAGCCACTGTTTATGACGTATCTAATGCACAGCTAGCAGGGGTGTTAAGTTTTAATTCTTTCCGTAGCTCCTTTGGTGGCTTCGCCACAGTGAGCCGCTTGCCAGTCTCAGAGAGATGCGTGGCCTTGGCAACCACCTCCCCGAATCTGCTGGAGAGGGATGGTTCTGAGCCTCATTTGGCTTCAGCACTAAAAGCCACACTGACCACACTGACATGAGCCGTCATGAGAAACTACCTCCTGGCCCAGTTGATAACACCATGTTAAAAAGTCAGCACACTCATTAGGAGAGAAAGGCATTAAAAACTCTACATAAGAAGCGTTTAAAATAAATCTGGTTGAGACACAGTACAAAAATCACATTTGTGTAAAATACATGAAAATATTTGTCAAGCATTTCTTATATTCAACTAATCTTAAAAACACGTATTTTTGATTGCGTTATGCAGAAGCTGAGCTTGTCACATCTTACCTACAAAGCTTCAAGTTTCTTTGAAGGTTGGCTTTTATTTTACTTAGCTATTATTTAGTTACTTAATTTGCAAACGTATGTAAAAATGTGTTCCTTTCTATCAGATGTCTTTTACAAAAATAGCTTTGATTAGGGATAGTTGCAGTTTCAAACACTGAAAAAAAACGGACGCCGCAATTAATGAGTTAATTCCTCTCGGAGTCTGGAGGTAGGTCTGTGCAAGTCAGTGAGTCCGTTTCCTTAAACAATCCATGTGAGGTACAGACTTGGAGGGTAACATTGAAACATTACAGTCAAATTAAGTGTGATGTGTAGTGTGACTGAGGAAAATTATCCTTAAGAACCTAGGAGCGACTTAGTTAAAAAATATTCAAGTTAATGTAGAAATCTAGCAGAGAAGCTGAAACAAGTATTTGTAAAATTTTAATAAAAAAAAATAGAAAAATACATACCCATGCTGAAACACAGTAAGGAGATTGTTTCTTTAACTGTAATTAAGTGTATTAAAAGAAGTGCAGATGACCACAGTCACCTGCCCAGTCAGTGTTTTCTAGCATTGCTTGTGAATAGCAGCAGTTAACAAGTGCTAGACTGTGACTCACGGTAACATTCAGAGGTAGCACTGAGTGGTGGGGATATTGCATCTCTGGCTGAAAGTGCAGTGTGAATGAAGAGATGGATGGTGAACCGGGCCTCGGTCAACCATCCTATGTCAAAACGTATTACTTGACGTAACACGTAAGCTTAATTTGAGGTAAGTGGTATTTAGGTCTTTCACGGAAACTGATACACTTTGAAAAGAGAAAGAGAGAGACAGACAGACTGCTTATTTTGCTTTTTAAACGGTCACTTAAGTTTAGCAAAAGAAATTTAGATTTCGCTCCTCCCACCTCACAATTCAGGTGAGTTCATCCTGCATTATTCTGTTGTACCTTTCTGTTAAGTTGCAGAGAGGGGAGTTTTCCTTGTCTAGTTTCTTTAAATGCTCTGAGGTTGACAAGTGTTACTTATTTACTGCCCAACGGCATTTGGCTCTGTAGGAAGTAGATTTCCCAAAAATTAAGTGTTGTTCTAAAAAAAAAAAAAGAAAAGAGTGCTATGGGTAACTTTATCATTCCTGCCGACACGTGTGATGTCCATAAATGTAGCTGGCGGCAACGCTGGTTTGCTCCTTTCCCTTTTTGAAAAATGAACATAACCTTTCCTGGTGTGTCAGCTGAATGCAAGGATACATCAGCATTTTGTCTCCTTTAGAAATAAAAAGGCAAAAATCATCAAGTAAGTGTCTACAGGATTCTACGGGACAGAGAGGGTAGTATCTAGTCCTATCTTTGGTGTTCTAAACAGAGGGGTCACTACAGCGAGCGAGACGGGTGGCACTGGGGGCGGACACGGTGTCCCACCGTGCCTTTCCTGTACGAATGCCCAGGTCACAAATGTGACAGGTTTCCTGTTCGCATGCAGTGCAGTGGTTGACTAACCAGTCAGAGTTTTTTCACCCACCCTCTCTTGCTCATCAGGTCAACAAACTATTAGTAGGTTAGGAAAAAAAGAAAACAGTAATTAAAAGTTGCATTGTTAAACTGCGTCCCCTGTGTTTACAGCAGTTCCTCACTAAACCTGGGACCGTGAAGGGATTACAAAGGTGATTAACATAGTCCGTCGTAGGTTACGTGATTGCTCCCCCCCCCCCCCCCCGCCCGCCCCGATGCGCTGGGAAGACCCTGGCAACAGAGTAAGTGGTCACTGCGGTGTCTTCTCCCTTCAAAGATCAACTGCCGTGAGGTAGAGGTCAGCGCCGCCTAGTCCTCCTCCGCGGACTCTTGTGAGGACGTCTCCTCAGTCTCCTCCTGGAACAAAAAGGCACAAGCGTCAGGCTGTGGGCCCTGAGCCTGCCTCAGAGCAGGTGCCGCGATGCCTGTCCCCAGGCCCAGCCGTCACTGAGGAACCAAGGTGTTGTTTTTTCCCAGGCGGTCATTAGTCCCTGTTGACTTAAGGCTTGACATCACGGTGCTGGTCAGCAAATTCAATTGTGTGCGGTCTAGAGAACGGCAGGGCAGTCAAGCCTACTCACCGTTAGGGGAAAAAAAAAGGATAAATTTTTCCCAACAGCTTGCCAGTCATCAGTTTTTCAAAACCGCCACTCAAGTAAGAAAAATAAAGTTAAAGGGGTTCCTTCCGAAGGTGTGAACGAACGTTCAGGCACTGGCTGTGCTGGTTGGTATTTTTACAGCACGTACCAGGTGCTCCCACAAACCGCCTGCCTCTGTGCCTACTTCACAGAGCAGAGAACCAAGGCACAGAGAAGCAGCACGCCCACAGTCACGGGGGCCCACAGTTACAGGGGCCACAGTCAGAGGGCCACAGTCAGGGTGCCACAGTCAGGGGGCCCATGGTCACAGGAGGCCACAGTCACAGGGGCCACAGTCACAGAGGCCATGGTCACAGGGGCCCACAGTCAGGGGGCCCATGGTCACTGGAGGCTACAGTCACAGGGGCCACGGTCACAGGGACCCATGGTCACGGGGGCCTCAGTCATGGGGCCCATGGTCACAAGGGCCATGATCATGGGGGCCCACAGTCATGGGGACCATGGTCACGGGAGCCCACAGTCATGGGGACCATGGTCACGGGAGCCCACGGTCACGGGGCCATGGTCTTGGGAGGCCACAATCACAGGGGCCATGGTCTTGGGAGGCCACAATCACAGGGGCCATGGTCTTGGGAGGCCACAATCACAGGTGGCCACAGTCACAAGGCCCACTGTCATAGGAGCCCACGGTCATGAGGGCTGACAGTCACAGGAGCCCACAGTCACAGAGTCCAAAGTCACGGAGGGCAGGGAGGCAGGGACAGGACCTGGATTCATGGGCTGGTGGCAGGTCCTGTCCCCGACTGCCCCGCTCCAGTGCAGAGGCAGCTTGAGGGCTAACGACAACCTTTCTAAATGCATCTCTTGGTTCTTCTATCTGTGAAATTGCATTTTGACACAATAACCAAGGTTCTGGTAACTATTCCATCTCACTCTCCATCCACATCAACCAAACATCTGGCAGTGGGCTTGCCACGTGGAGAAGATCTAACATCCACGTTTTCTCTTCCCATGAATCTAATTCCTCCTTCCCTGTCCCCTTTTCTGACTCCTCATGGCTCTGGACTTGTTGGGGTTTCTGTGAGCCGGCTTGAGCTGCAAAGCTCTCCTTCTGCTTATCTAACAGACGTGCAGCACCCTTCAGGGTACGGGTGGTAAAGCGGAGACAATAAACATTCCTGATAAAAGCACTGTCAGTGAAAGGATGCTTTTACTGAACGCTGCCTGTTGTCTCCTCAGATGGCGTGTGAACAAGATCTGGGAGAAGAGGCAAACATTTACTCTGCAGCACACCAGGCCCCTTTCAGGGAGACCAGCTTGGAGCAGCTTATGGCAGTCTTCAGACTTTAATAGATTTGATTTTCCACATGGCTTCATTTTGTCTGGGTGGCTAACGGACACGATTTATACCTCTATTCCTTTCCCAGGTCACTCCAGAGCACCACCCAGTGTAGCACCTCCGAGCCCATCTGCGCTGCATGACCCAACCCCATTCATTAGTGTCTGAAATGCTTCAACTGTGAAGGGCTCCAAACGCTGCCATGTGTGCCGCCTCCATGGGAAAGCAGCACACAGGAGGGAAGAGACCCATGTAGACGTGCATGCACACGTATGCACACACACAATGCACTTGCACACGCACACACACGCACACACATAATGCACTCGCGCACACACAATGCCCTTGCACACGCATGCACACACATAATGCATTCGCACACGCACGCACACATGTGCACATACATGCCCTTGCACACGCATGCACATGCACACACATAATGCACTCGCACATGCACACACAATGCACACGCACATATGTACACACATGCTCAATCCACATGCACACACATGCATACACCGAATGCACTTGCACATGCATGCACACGTACACACATAATGTACTTACACGTACATACATGCTCACACATAATGTACTCACACATGCACGCACATATGTATACACATGCACGCACACATGTACACACATGCTCAATGCACATGCTCACACATGCACACACATAATGTACTCACACATGCATGCACACACATGTACACACATGCATGCACACACATGCATACACCTAATGCACTCGCACATGCATGCACACGTACACACATAATGCACTCACACATACATGCACACCCCCACATATGCACACATACATGTACACACATGCTCAATGCACATGCACACACATCTACGATGCACACGCACCACATGCTGTATCCTGAGTTTTCATCACAGGCTACTGCTTACTTGCACACCCTTTGCAAAAGGTTTCAAACATTCTGTTCCTCCCAAGACTGAGAGAGCTGTAAATCCTGGGAATAAACACGCACAAGTGAACGGATTACACCTTAAAAAATCGAGCCACACGGCAGCATCGAGGCATGGGATTCACACCAGTTTTGTTTAGTCTGCTCTGGGTTTTGTGGGAAAATGGAACTATGAAGCCCCCTCCCCTCTCTTCCCAACCCCCATACTGTGGACTTCACATATTTAAGTGGCAGGTTTATACCTCTTGACCAGGCAACAGGTCGTGACCCCAAGACTCTCTGTGGAGTTCTGGCCACAAAGCAGGATGTGGCGTGATCAAAGCCACAGACAGACGGGGAGGGAGACGAGCCAGAGGTCAGCTGCCCTGTGACCCTGTCTGTTCACTTAATATTTAAATTCCAGAAAGTCACTAAGCCGTTGGGCAGATAGACGCTTCGTCTGTCCCCAGATGACTCATTAGGACCTGAGCTGTGCACTGACTGCTCTGGAGCAGACCACAGCACAACAGCCGGAAGGTGTGTGTCCTTCCTTCTCACAGTTAACGGATCACAGAAGGCAGGCAGGGTGCACTGAGCAGGGACCATGCCATTTCTGACCGCCTGGTGTTTCCATGCTCTCTGGAAACCAAGGGACTTCCAAATCCGGAAGGAAACAGGGTTTTTAGGCCATGAACTTACAAAGACCTTGATCTAGATGCAATGTGATCAGCTTTTCAAAACATTCCCAGACGCTTTGCTTGATCTGAGCTCCCGAGAGTCCTGATATGCCGACCCCACAGACACAACTCTGATGGAAGTGAAGGTCCCTCATACTGTTTTCTTTACAACAGTCCTTAATGCAATGCACAGTTGTTTTATTAATGTCTCTTTCTGCTGACCTTGAAATTCTCCTACTAGTGACTATCAGTTAATATTGGGAACAGGACGAGGCTGTCGGGGGTGGGAATGATGGTTTTGACAATGTCCAGCCAGTGGAGGTCACTCTCTTCTTGGCGTAGCCCCAACTGGCCACCCTCCAAAGGAAGGTGGGGCTCCCAAGCAGATGACACTGGCGAGGTTGGCAGCACTCCCCACCTGCACAAACCCCAGTTCTCACTTTTTTTGCTGCAGCTGTGGCTGCATAACCAGCCATACCTGCAGATGATGCTGGGAAGTGCACTCTCAGCTGCCCTGTGTCACAGTTTGGCAGGACTTGACACAGGACACTTCTGTAGTACAAAAAGGGGACAGAAACCAGGTGACGTGAAGAACAAGGGGCTGGCCCCGAAGTCCCCAAAGCATCTTATTTCTTGACAGAGTCCTGCAGTTGGTAGGGACCCTGGAGCTTTGATCTTCCATAATAACTAGAAGGTTTTATTGCAGACAGCAGCTTGTAGCTTGTGTCTTCAGAAGTTGCTTCATGTTGGTCACACAATGGCCAAGGGCCTTTGGGCTTGTGTAGCTCCCGGGGAACAAGACGGAAATTCTATCGCTGAGGCTTGCACATTTTACCAGGCTGTGTGGCGGGAGGGAGGACTGAACAGCAGCTCTCGGGTCACCGGGGCTCACCTGCTGAAGGGCGTTTCTGAGTGCAGGTGCATGGTGACACTTTTGTGAGTCCTGGAAGCCTCTTGGCCATTCACGAGCTACTTCACAGAGAAGGGCGAGGCGCATGGGGCCGGGTTCAGACAGGAAACTGATGAGAGGGTAAGAGGGGGGCCGAGTGGGAGGACCATTTTCTTATTAAGACTATTGGGAAACTGTCCTCACTTTGCTTTAGTTTTTCTTTTGTTCATGAAAAGAAGAATGTAATCAATGTAACTTTGCCTTGATTAATCTTGAAAACCAAACCCCTCAAACCCAGGAATCTGCTCTGCACACACGACTGCTCTTCACAGACTTGGGCTGGCTGGTGAGAGAAGGAAGGAGACGGCCCCATATCCAACCTCAGGTTCTAGTGCATGGTAGGGCTGAAGATGCCAGCGGCAGGGCAGGGTGAGCGCGGGAAGACTGAGTACTCAGGGCTTTTGTTTCAGATGCTGAATCCACACACGTCTCCTGTGGCAGGAGGGAGGCCAGTGGGCTCCAAAGGGAGCTGGGAATTAGAAATGCCCTTGCAAGCCAGGCGCTGGGTCCCCACAGTGCTACTTGTGTGGGATGGAGCACAAAAGTCACAAAACTCTATGACAACTTTGGTAAGTGCTTACATCTTTTTTTTTTTTTTTTTTTTTTTTTTTTTTTGCAGTTTTGGCTGGGGCTGGGCTTGAACCTGCTACCCCCAGTATATGGGGCCAGTGCCCTACTCCTTGAGCCACAGGCACTGCCCCACATTTTTCTTAACTACATGGAGTTCTGCCACTCTCACTATGCGATGCTGTCCAGACGTGCGTCGTGACCAAGCTGTCCTGCCAACCCAGCTGCTGATCTCAAAGGAGAAATGACAGACCCTCTCCTGCTACCTTGATATCTCAGCTCCTTGAGAACGGGAACAACACGTGGGAG